GTAATTCTTTGTCAAGCTCAAAGTCACCGAAAAATAAATATAACAATATATTTTACGGCTAACTAACGCGGGCAAAATTCGCGGGCAAAAGCTAGTTTACCTTTAATTCGGTTCATTGTTAAAATTTACATTAGTAAATTAGTAATACGAATAACTTTTTCTAACGGACTAATATTATTACTAGACAAGTGGTGAATTTGATAATTTTGTACAACCGACTTCAATAAAACTCAATTACAACTTATGTAATGGTTGAAATGAGTTCTATTACATTTATATGGGGCCAATTTTGAGACATACATCCATTATCAAAGAAAAAATGAACAGGTGTTCAAAATCGGTCCACAATTGATGGAGAAATCAGTGAACATACATAAAAAATAAATAAAATAAAAAACATACAGCGGAACATAGAACCTCCTACATACGAAAAATTTATTATTTTGTAAAACTCAACATATTTGATTATTAAACAAATAAAATATTTATTTTATTAATTCTAGACTTTTTTTTAAAAACTCAATTACAACATATGTAATGGCTGAAATGATTTCTATTACATTTAAATGGGGCCAATTTTGAGACATACATACATTATCAAAGAAAAAATGTACAGGTATTCAAAATCGGTCCACAATTGCTGGAGAAATCAGTGAACATACATAAAAAATAAATAAAATAAAAAACATACAGCGGAACATAGAACCTCCTACATACGAAAAATTTATTATTTTGTAAAACTCAACATATTTGATTATCAAACAAATAAAATAATTATTTTATTAATTCTAGACTTTTTTTTAAAAAACGTTACCCCCGTTACGCTACGTTACGTTATGTTACCCCCACTGCGCCACGGTGCTTGTTTATTTTATCATTTTTACAATCTTATGCTGGGGCCACACTAACGAGAAATGCCGTTAATTATCGCGTTGATGGACGTTGAATGTAGGTGTGACCACGACTTAAGAACATCATTAGGAACCGATAACCGATGGGGAAAAAAGGTTCTCAAGTGGCACCCTCGAACCGGCAGACGCTAGATGCAGTGACGACCTGGTAAGACATGCTGGAAGTCGATGGATGTAGGTGGCTCAGGGCCGTGCTTTGTGGCATACCTTGGGGGAGGCCTATGTTCAGCAGTGGAATCCTGAAGGGCTATAAAGATGAAGATTGTGATTATTGTTGAATCTTGTAGTAATTTTAATTAAAGCACTAATTGTTACTTTGACTAAAGTTAATCTCTTTTCAAACTGTTAAATTGTTTTGCAGGCTTTTACGAAATTACTATCGTGTATTTTTGTTTGCTTCCGGTATTGGATTGTTTCTGTGTTTAACTCACTTTTAGATTTATTCAGTACTTAAGACCTTTAAATTGTTTTTATACCCTGTGCATGTAACGTAAATACTATAAGAAATGTACGTAATGTATGTAATGTAAAATTGCTGGTAGACCTAATAAGTGAATAAATATAGCAGTACTGAAAATAGGTAGAATTTTGTACGTGGTAGAGTCACGCTGCAGCTATATTATAGTTGTAGCATGAATGGTTCGGCTCAACCAGGGCAGGACCACACAGAATATCAGCATAAAATAACAGCGTAATGCTGCTGTGTTTCACATGGTGAGTGTAGAGAACCGCATACCCTTTTTAATGGAATCGCGGCATTCCATCTTAGTCCTCAGGGGTGACAACGCATGTGCATTTTGATTCTTAATTGAGGATAAATCTGGAGGTCTATGGACCACAGCATCCACTCACCATCAGGTGGACTGCGTTTTCATTTGTCACCCAACGAAAAAAAAAAGATTTTTTTTTATTTATTTGGTTCACCAACAAATGTTACACTAATACATTTGCTTAATTCTAAGACAGTGATATAAACTAAGTGCACATTCAATAATAGGTAAACACCGCATGCATGCAAGATATCAAAATTTAGTGTTACTCAAGTATAAAAATTGTCTCCTGTGGTCCTGATGCAAACGCTAAATCCCATAAAAGGGCGTATATTTTATTTATTTATTTTATATTGTAATCAATAATCATATGATTTTATGTTTTGATATAAGTACCTACTTTGGTAAGTACTTTCTAGCTTTTATAAGGGACAAGGTCGTGAAAACGTCGGGATCTCGAGACAGTCTTTGTTAAACTATTTACAATTTAAACGATAAATTGGACGCACTGAGATGTTGAGTAACGTGAAGTTGCTAAGCTGTATATTACTGAGGAGCCTTGCTTCATGTTTTTATTTAAAAAAAAAAACAGTTTTGTTTTTTTATCAGAATAATACATAGCAAAGCACTCGTAGGTGTCAAGTTTATTACATCAATTTTATTAGCATATAATGAATGAGAAGTTAAGTTTTAATTGAAATATTATCAAAACAGGCAACAGTAGGTATATTAACAGTTAACTGTTAATATAAATATATTTTTTGTATAATTGTTACCACAAGGCCATTCTCTTGCGTATATATATATATATATATATATATATATATATATATATATATATATATATATATATATATATATATATATATATATACACAACATGTCTGGTCTGTCATCTGTCATGCATATATACAAGTCACACATCTTTAACTCGCCGTTTAAACACTGAAACTGTTTGAGCCTCACGAATTGCAGCAGATAAAGAATTCCATAACCTAATTGCATGTACTGTAAAAGAGTGAGAATAGAATTAGCTCTGGAGGTAGGGAAATTTAGGAAGGATTTTAAATGAGATCTGCAAATTGCATCGCGGGAATAAGTAAAGCGGAATCGATCACCAAGATACGGTGGTAACGTCGGATTATTTGGTAAGCTAAATTAAAGACGAGGCATTTAATGTTGCGTTAGCAGTGATTTCGTATTACCATCTTTGATACCCATTTGATTTACCATTTTCTATTCAAAAATATTTATTTTTTTGCAGTGTTAACTTTAATCGTACCACGCCCGCCGTAACAAAAAACAGCTTTGTACCGGGCGGCTGTCCCATTTCAAAACCTAGCAAGGGCTTAAAACTAAATTTTACAGGAAAGCACTTAAACGAAAAATAGGTTAGCCTTTTAAAAGTATTTATGTTAAGTAAACAATTTGCTGTTGTTTGTATAAAATACTAAATAATGCACATATAGTACTATCAATATTTTAATATATGTGTATATTACAGAATTTAAAGCCCTTACTAACTTTGATAATTGACATGAAATGGTTAGGTTCATGTAACAACCAGTTTCATAACATAGTAAGAGCACTTGCTAGGTTTTGTTATGGTTTTACGGAACAGGTACTTAGTATATCTCATTGATTAAATTCTAGTAAATCTAAAGCCTTGTAATTAAAATCATTATTAATTGAATAGAAAAGTTTATTAATTTATAAAAAAAGAGCTATTCAACTGCAGACATTTGTCCATCATTTGTCAAATCGGCAGACGAGTCATTGACGGGTAAATTATTCCAAAATGATTTTCTTGATTCCGGCATCAAACATACCAATTTATTAATAATTTCTTCTTTTTTTATTTTGTTTAATGCCTCTTGGGGTGTCAAGACTTTTAGGGAGCTCAGTGCAATTAAATTTTTTCACCAGAAAGTCCAATTCCTGGAGGGGTTCATCAAATCTGAAAAAAAAGTTAAAGTTCATGCCAAAAAAAGTCAAATTAATCTGACTTAAAATAAATATTATATTATAATAAATAAGTAATACCTTGTCTTATAAAAAAGGTTTCTTGATCCAGTGCTAAATTAAACTTGCACAACAGAGTTCAAATTAAATTGCTTTAGCGGTTCATTAAGACGTGCCGCTCTCTTCTTTTTCTGCCACTCATATCTACAATTGATTTCAATAGGTTTTATATTTCTGCTTGATTGCATCACTGTGTCTTTAAAATCCTGGAAATCATATATAATTCTTTGCCTCCTCATTTTCATTTCGATATTGCCATGAACAGCATCCGCGAACATGTGAGTATGGCCTTTGGTTAAATAGCTAATAGTTACTGATTTAAGATTATTCAAGTAGTTATTGACTATTATAGTCATTGCAGTGTAAAGGGTCCAATTTTTGTTTTGGGCTGTACAAATATCAGCCCATATATACAAGTGCTCCATGTCCCTTTTAGCTTGTATGAAATCATATATGGTGTTCATAATATCACTCGCCTCTCGTCCAGCTTGAGCTTCATGCCAAAGGACACATGGCAAAATCGCTTGACTTCTTTTCAATTGGAGCAAATGTTAAATTAGAAGTAACCAGACGGCTCATGAAAAAAGCATCTTTAATTTCAGGCATCTCTGGTAAAATAATCAATCGCCTTTTGTAAATTCACTGATAAATATTTAACTCTATTTGAATTTTTGCTTGATCCATCTAATCTGTATCTTTGTAAAGCAGATTTGATTTTCGATCGAGAATTTATTTTCATATTTCGTTCTTATTTTTTCAGGCATCGAATTAACATCGCTGTAATTCTTTAGTTCTTGTTCATACATTGAGCATTCTACACAGCTATCACCTTTAGGCATATGAAATGATATTTTTAGTTTTTTTTTGTATTTTGCCTGTATAATTCAACCCCACATTTAAAATTTGGATTTTTCTGCTTGAAGTCTTTGTACATTTGCTGTAATGTTAAGTGTCTCGGCAAATATTTAGTCAATGGCGCATTGTGACGGCGATAATGACTGACAGTGGGCTGAAAACTCATGATATGCTCAGTTATTATGCTTGCATCAACTTTTCTTCGATTGCCACCCCTATTTTCTTTAGAAGCAGATGCATTTAATATTCCTTTCTTTATAGTTTTACTAAGTTCCGTTATCACGCCATCAGTTTTATATCCAAGAGTTGCCAAAAAAAAGTTACGGCACACGGGAATCAACTCGTTGTCTTTATTTGGCAAAGAAAAATAACGACTTTCGTTTTTAGAAAACGAATCATTAGAATTTGAGATTTGAACTTTACGTCTTTATAGAACGTATAGTTATGCATTTATTGAGAAAATTACGCCTTGATACAAAATTTCTTCCCAATATTTATCCCAAATCTCTTTCCGACTTTCAACTGAAAACTTTGTACATTGCCTCTTGCATTTGCCATCACAAATATTTACGATCATCGGATGCTTTATTTTACTTTTATTTGGTTTAGTAACATTTGATTCAGTGGCATTTACATATTGCGGATTGGTATTTTGTGTTGTACTGATGTTTGATAAATTATCATGTTCATTATAAGTAAAAACTGGACCGGGATATGCAGCTACGAAGTGTATTTCAGGTTGTCTATTTTGATGCAGAGATTCAGTGGCAGATTGAGATATACAAGAACCCAAGAAATCCCGGAATGTATAATCAGTGTCAGAAGAAGTATCTTTTACAGATTCAGACAGCTCAAAATCAGGATCTTCATCTGAATAGTCCAAATCGCTAAATGTGATTAATTCTTAAGTGTCAATTACACTTAAGGTGTTAGGTTTTAAAGCAGTGTTATTTTACGAAGATGAAGTGGATAGTGCTTTGAATTCAGACTGAAGCAGGCAAACTGAAGAAAGAAAAGAAAAATGCAACACACGACAAAAAGAAACCGCAACTAATTTTAAAATAACGCACACATCAATAATTCCATTTTCAGGCCAAAACAACAACTCTTGGTAAACTTAAAACTAAGCATGCCTATCAAACCAAAAACAAAATAATAATCACGTGCATACTAATAGGTTTAAAAATATTAATTTTAGTTAGCATCATTACTTTATATAGGTATTTCAGTGCACGTGTATTATTAGGCAAAAGAAATAGTTTAGATATAATGAACTTACTGTTTTTCCGTCTCTAAATCATAGTTTATATTGTTATTTTTAGCGGCAGCCACAATCTTTTTTGAACGGTAAAATTGCATTTGGCGATTCATTTTTATGAAGAACAAATCAAGTTACTGTGTTCACGTGCCGACGCCGATAACTGAATTGAGAAGCGAATGCTTGCGCTCACGTGTTGTGACATGCTGTGAACAACGTGCACTATCCCTCTCTTTCTTCACGTTTGGACTTGATTTCAAAAACCTAGTAAGTCACTTTAACCATTTTAAAACCTAGCAAGTCTCAGACACTTACTAGGTTTTGAAATGGTTAAAGTAACTTGCTAGGTTTTTATGTGGTCACGAGGCGGTGAATGGTACACTTACTAGGTATCGATGCTTTAAAATATCAGCTTTTTTTGTGCGTTTTCAACGCTGGTGTTTTAACGGTATTGGGTAGGGACATACTAGGTTAGGAAGACTGCAATAAAACGATTTTTGTAAAAAGTGTCCCTTACTATGTTTTGAAATGGGACAGCCGCGGGGCCTCAGTCGTCACCTCAGCTGGCGGCACTTGTTATAAACATTTATATTTCTCACGACCTTTCCTTTATGTTTAAAGTGGTTTTAATTACAGTTATTTGAAGCCGATAAGATTTTCGATAAGTAGAAACAATAACCATAACATTTAAATGTTTATTTTATTTTGTACAGCTCTTTGTTTCTAACGGATCTTGATAAAGTGTACTTACTGACAATAAATTTTATTTTATGAATGAAATATCATAAGTTTTTATTTTATTTTTATGTTCTTACAATCAATACAACATATTCTTTCCACACATATTTTTTTACAACATATTCTAAATGAACCGAAATTATGTATGTAATAATTATAATAATTCTACTTTTTCACTTGCAATCATTTGCTAAAAATTCGACAATAGACAGTTTGCGCGCGCTTTGTAAACTCATTTTCAAAACCTTTTTGTGTACTTATATATTTTATAGTTGCGCCCTCCTTTATTTTTCTTATACAATCATATAGATATAACATTTAGCAATTCCTAGTAAAAGTATTTACTATGGTATTCCAATAAGAAATATACTATTATTATCTTATTAGAATCTTATTAGAAATCTTGACCGTTATGAATTGTTCGCGTAGAGGTTTTTTGTTTCTACTTTTTTTATCAATTGAAACATAAAAAAGTTACTGTTGTTGTAACTTAAATCATTCAAAAACATTACGTAGTAAAGATAAATAATATTACTTACAGTTTTTTTGAAAGAAAAACCAACTAAAATCACAATCACAAAACTTCAACGATTACGCAACTAATTAACCACAAGCCGCAGATAAACTCTTAGCTAGTTCGTCCTATTATTATTATTACAATAAAATTTATGAAAATATACAGAATGTTTAAGTGATTAAAATGACCTAACTTTAAATGAGTTTATTGGCATTTAAAACTACGAGTAATGTCGCCATGCTTTTGAATAAAGCGAGTGTCTGTTTTTATGATTAACCTTGGGTTTTGATCATTAGCTTTGAGCAAACATATGAATATAATATGTTTGTATAATTAATATTCCTAAATGGTTTCTCGTAAACGGCTTTAATTCGATATTTTTTTTATTTTAGATATTGTTTTACTTTCCAAGTTTAGTAATTTTCTCAAGATGTCATCTTTGAATTACTTTAGTTTATAGGTTATTTATATCCACGGCTTTGTAGCGCGGTGCCTATGAGTTTACCTGCGACGGTGTTGCGGTCTGCGGGTTCGAATCATAATCATAATATTTATTGCAATCAGATGTAACAAAAAGTGTGATGTTTAAAAACCGCATTTCGAATCCCGCATGGAAAAGGTATTTGTATGGTCTACAAATAATTGATCCTGGGCTGCATATTTGACAACTAGTGTATTGTGTATATTAAATAAATAAATTTATCGAATAAAACCATATTGAAACAATCTATTTGAAGCCCTACCTCCAGAATTAGCTTTAGATATGTTACGGAATTAATTTCCTTCCCAGACACAGATCCTAAACAGAGACAAAAGATCGTAATACAAGTTATAGAAACAAAATAAATAAATTGTGCGGAGGTACGTATTTGAGTTGTACGTACGTGCAGCTATGCCAGTAGTTGTTGGGAGCACTATGCTCGAACCTCGAACGTTTTGACGAGTAGGTACGTCGTTTACATCGAGCAAATTGTCCTTCTTGGTAAGTTCATTTTTGACCGAGAGGTCAATCGACGGATTCGACTTGGCTGGAAGATTATGACATATCTTCTCATAACATATATCTCAAAACTTGGAAACCAGAGTATACAACCATTCTATTTTACTAGTGGTGACATATGCATTTGAGACGTGGTCCACTGGCCGCATGAGGAATCTTAAGATCACTCAGCAAGATATAGAAAGTATGCACGGATTTTCTCTGCGTATTAAGCCGTGGTAGCTCAGATGGTTAACGCTCGCTGTAATATAACAGAACACGAGTAACCTGGGTTTGATTCCCGCCGGCACCAATGAAATTGTTAATTGCAATTTTAAGTGCTGATTTACCACGTGCTCGGCGGTGAAGGAAAACATCGTGAGGAAACCTGCATGTCTGAGAAATAAGATAAAAAATATTTCTAAGACATGTGAAGTTCGCCAACACGCATTGGGGCAGCGCAGCGGACACTTCGCCGCCCTAAAACCCTCTCAGAAATGAGGGGAGGCCTGTGCCCAGCAGTGCGACGTATATAGGCTGTAACTTTACTTTACTTTACTTTTAAGGGTTAGTACTGCGTAATAAGGAAATCCGCAGAAGAAACAAAGTAAGCGATATCATCCCACAGATCAATTGGTGAAAGTGGCAATGGTTGGGCCCTTTAACACAAAAATCTGACAACTAGGTAAATCCATACCGGTAAGTGAAGTGTAGGGCGGTCTCTCCCTAGAAAAAATAACGAAGTGGTAACAGATGGACTTGTGATGGGATGTAATGATGATGATGATAATGAGTGAATATATTATGTAACGACTCGCCTTAGCGAATAATTTTGAGCAGATTTTTCGTCTGATTGTACGTTTATTTAAGTAACATTTATGCGACATTGTAATAGTATTAAGTATGTAAAATGGCATAAGACAAGATTTTTACAGAAGAAATAGAAAATTGGCTTTCTTAATATAATTCAAAAATTTTAACTCCAAATTAGTTCGTATTAGTAGTATACTAATTTGGAGTTAAAATTTTTGAATTCTACTTAGAATTCCAAATTCAAACTGACATCACATTAAAACTGATTGGAGACATTTACTTTAAAAAAATTATTTATATAACTGTCATTTTTTTGGATTTTATATCGCTGTTTCTGTAACTGATACCATCGATGTACCAATGATGTAGAGACAGCATGCAATACCAACAACCGTGACGTATATGTGTCAAACCAGGTACCGCAAATCAAGGCTCGGTGAGGTTTAATTGTTATGACGCAAAGTTCGGAATTTCCGGAATTTCCAGAAAATTTTAATATCGTCAGCGAGATAATGACAAATTGAAACTGGACAAATTTAAGATCGACGTATTAATCAAACAAATAATGTCGGTAGCCTAACAGAACAGTATTTGTATTTTTTTTGCGTCAAATTGTTAAAATAAAAGTACTTGAAAAGTTGGTTGGTTGGTAAAAGCTCCTTCGTGCGCTTCCTTCATTCGCGTTTTTACTATTCGCGGATTAGAAAAGTGCAACCCAATTCCTATATTCGCGGCTTTATAAAAAAGGAAATGCGTATTTTATTGCTTCATCTTACGATTCGTTATAAAAATTGTAATCGAGTAACACGTCTACAAGTTTCAACAAGCTAACGAGTTTCAACAAGCACTGAAAATGTGACATTTAAGTAAAAAATCTTATTGAAGGTTTAAGAATGGCAAATGAGCTTTGTGATTTCTTTATGAAAATTGATCCGTATGGAACGAAGATTACTAATGCCAATCTTGAATATTAGTCTGAATTAAAGGAGCTTTTATAGACTGCCAAGCAAGAAAAAATTACAAAATTCTTTAAACCATTACCTAAGCTTGAAGATAATAATTAATCAATATGGTCAAACACTTCAATTCAATCAAGCAAGATCAATGGACTTTCAACGCTTTACGAGACACTTGGCTGAAAGACTGCCAAATTCCTTCTGGCTTTTTCTATAGAATAAGTGTCGCAAACGTGCAAAGCAATTTTACTTTAATTTCTTTCGATAGGTTTTTTTATAGGATAGGAAGACAAACGAGCACACAGTGCACATGATGGTAAGTGGATGCTGTGGCCCATAGACATCTACATTTATCCTCTATTAAGAATCAAAACGCAGATGCGTTGTCACCCCTGAGGACTAAGATGGAATGCCTCATAAAAATGGGTCTCCGGATCTCTACACTCACCATACGAAACACAGCAGTATACAGCTGCTATTTTACGCTGGTATTCTGTGAGAGCGTGGTCCTTCCGTGGTCGAGCCGACCCATTCGTGATATACCTGCTCAAATCTATACAATGCACAAGAGCTATATCTTACTCCTGTCGATTTCAATTTTTTACAGAATTATTATAATAATCTATATTATAATAATTCTGTAAAAAATATTTATATTTTATACAGAATTATTATTTTAACCTTAAGGTAAAAAAGGCTTAAGAATTTATTCGGGTATTATTTTTCACATTACAGAGCATTCTTTGTGTACATATTCAGACATTTTAGGTAAAACCGAGCACACTAACCGACTAATATAGTATGGATAATAAACAGTTTCTATTCGAAATCTAAGGCTGGAGGAAGACCAAGTCATCGCAGTATTTACCAGACCAATTGAAAATTTCTAGATCCTACTATCCGTCTGTTAAGTCTAGTGTAAATATTTTAGTTTAAGTTTACACGGCCCTGAGTTGATTTGACACCTTTCAAATTGAGATGCTTTTCATGAGGTCACCACCCGAATTTCAATTGTTGAATCACCTCAAACATAGTAGATATTATTCATATTCTTATTTAAATAAATAATTTATGATGGTCTTCTTCTAGCTGATTCTAGACTACGGTAAC